TGTTGGTTGGTTGCTGTTGGTTGGTTGCTGTTGGTTGGTTGCTGTTGTTGTTGTTGCTGTTGTTGTTGTGTTTGAAAGGTAGGTGGGGAACATATGTTTGGTTTGGTCAGTGTGTGCTATAGTTCATGTTTAATGCTAGACGTTTGAACATGTTTTAAGGTTGATGTTTTGATCCATGAAAATCCAAATGGGCATTATTTTACCAAGAGTCTACGTTATGATCCGGCATGCGATAGGTCCGATAGGAAAGGAAACCTATATTTACGGAATTCCATGGAAAAAGACACCATAGAATAAAGGATTTGGAACCAATCCTGTCGAACACTCTCTGGACGTGGGGGTCCCTCCAGTGCGACCGTCCAATGAAGGGGGCGTCACAAAAGAAAACAAGTCATCGCCTTCATCGCATGAATTCGGGTTCTTCCCCATAAAGATTCCATCTACAGCATCTACATCGATCCACCAAGCAAGAGGATGTGCTCTCATCTTGATGGTTGTTCTGTGTTGGGCGATGATGGCACTTGAGGTCACTCCAGTCACCGACCGGCGGTGATGATGTGATGGCGGTGTTTGACGTGAGAATGTCCATGGCATGTGCCGTTGTTCGGTCCCAATCCTCAAAGCTTGGACTTCGTGAAGCAGTGCATTTGCTGAGTTTTTTTGAGGTCCGTGGGGTCCTGAATTTCCTGAGAAGAAGCTGCAGTTCTGTTTCCATGTGCCAAAGATATCCAAAGATATCCTACTATAGAGGCATTCAATTTGCGTGTTGGATGTGCAGATCCACCTGGGCTCCCCCGGCTTCCTGCACCTGCACCGGCGCTTTCCACCAACGGCTCGGTCCGGTCCCCTACAGTTTGCGCCTCCAGGTGCCATCAGTGCATTGGAGTTGAAGGGCGCTTGCTTGGAGATGCTCGGTCCCGTCTACGGGCGCTGGTGGATCGGGATGGGTGGGTGCCGCAGCGGGTCGCGACGATTTGAGGATCAGGTGGGTCGCGCTGGATGCTCAGGTCCGTTTTGGAAGAGGTGTGGACTCATAGCGCGGGGGGGCTGTTGTTCAAGAAAGAAGGGCCGAATAGGGCCGATGTGTTTGTGTGTGTGCGTGTGTTAGCCGCTAGCCAAAGAACGGTGGTGCCCCAGGGTGAGTTTTGGGATAGGTTTTTGGAATGTGTTGGACATGTTTTCCAGGTTCCGGGCTTATCAACCATTATCAACCTAAACGACCTTTGCACCTTTGGCGGCTAGCACTCCCCTTCATTCATGCTTCAACTTCTTTGGAGATTTGCTTGACTTTGCTCGGGCACAACCCAAATAAACATATTCAATATATGTTGAAATACTGTACTAAAACTACACCTGGAAACAAATGGAAGAAGACTCATAAAGACAGATCAGCACCTGCCATACCCCAAGACTCCGCCTATCACCGCCTGCCCGATTCGAGCACCACAGCACTGCCCTTCCAACGGGTTCGGACGTGGAGCCCGCTCCGCGCGGAGCGCGCTCCGCGCGCCCTGCGGCAAGGAGGAACTGGCCCTTCAACATCAGCCGTGTGAACGAGCGGCGCCTTGTTGGGGTTGAGGCTTCGGGAGGTTCTCACAGCTCGTGATCGATCGATCCATCGCTTAACACACATGGTGCCACCGGGCTCCCACGGCGCGACCATCGCGCTGCAGTCGTTCCGCCAAGGCCCCCGGAGACCTGCTTTAACGAGGCGGTGAGGCGAGCGGATGCGAGCGGATGCGGGATGCGGGACAGCTAAGCTTGCCAAATGGGTTCGAGCCTGCAAGGTTCTGGGATGTTCTGGGTTTACTCCATGAGCACCGAACATGTGACTTGAAGTGGTGGTTCTACCACTCGTTCGCCTGTCGCAGCGTGGAGTCGACCTCTGAAAACCTTGGGAGATCTCTGGATCAGCGCTTTTGGGGCCTCCACAGCCGCAGCCTTCAGATAAATCGTGGAGAATGGCATTGGGACGCCGTCCTCCCCATGCTGAGGAGCCGGGATGTATTCGGATGTGTTCCGATGATGGGCGCACTGAATGGTTTGTTGTTTTGTTCTTCGACTCCACCAACTGGTAGGGCCTGGCCCCCTTGGCCCCTGCCTTCCTTCGCCCCTGTGGGTTGCAAGACGGATGCTGATCAGATCTCACCAGGCTGGACGAGCCTACGCTACTTATAGGTCTTCATTGGACACCCAAATTGGAAGCGCAGTTGGTAGAGAGAAGTCACTCTTCTGGTGATCCGTCCGTGTCGCTGGAGCTTCTCTCTCAGTAGATCTCGCTAGATCTCACTAGCTCTTCAGAGCCAGATCAGTCGTTTGCAGAATTGGACATATTGAGGATGCCGCCTGGCAGTGCCTCGCATGCTGGGTCCGGCTTGGGGCACTACCTGTCCCTCCCCCACCGGTCACCGGTCACAGCCGGCACGCGCCGTCCGAGCTCCGCACCGTGCACGGCACTCGGCACTCGTCTCCGTGCACTCGTCTCCGCACCGGGCACCTCCGGCACGCGCCGTCCGAGCGAGGTATAAGATCGCGGAGTCCCGCAAGGTCGAAGTCCGCCTCGCCAGCATGAGGCAATGCCTGGCCGAAGGACCCGTCGGGTCCTTTCTCGCTTCTTCGAACCGCTTCTCCGCTGGTCGGGAGAGGGCGACAAAAGCGAGGGCAGTGAGGGCGGTTTGATGGTGTGCTTTTTGTGGTCCATGCGGCAGGGCGCAGGGCTGCCAGGCATGTTTTGGGCTGCCAGGCTTTGGAGGGTGGTTGTTATAAGGGAATTTGCATGAATTTTCTTTAAAAGACTATAGATAGTTCACCAAAGGTCCAGAACGTAAGATGATACTTGTTAACTTGTTACTTGTGGGATTTGGGTCTACCACCATACAGTGTGGGGTATACCAGGACTGCGTAGGCGTAGGCATGTAGACATGGTCCCAGCCCATCACACTCTCAAGCCCACAAGAAAGAGCTGAAATGACTTGAAATGACTGGTCGTGTCCAGATGGGACACCTCACCGGCACCACCGACCTGGCCAGTGGATACACCTCTCATCCATGGGCTGAACCGGCGGACCTTGGTTCAGCCCATTTCAACCCCGTTTTGGTCCAGCTCCGGTATAGGACACCCCATCGTGTTTGGCTTAAAGCTCACGGCGCAGTTCTTCAAGCCAGCACCAGGTGCGCTGGGAGTGGTTCGGGGGTGGTTCATGGTTCCTGGTTCGTGTTGCAGACCATTCATGGGACGAGTTGCATAAACGTTGCTGTATGATATGTAAGCAGCTATTCCATATACATGGATGGTGTGGGATGGTTCTCTTTGGTTCTTCTTTGCGCTGCCCAAACTACAAAGTAGTTTTCCACTAGCTGGGGTGCAGGTCGGGTGATCTTCAGACCTAACAAGTGAATAGATACACTGAATAACTCCACCAGTGAGTCAGGCCCCTCCCACCTCCCAACCCCCCCACTCTCAGCCCTACCATCTCACCCGTCCTCCGTCCTCCATCCCCCAGGCGGCGGCATCACGACGCCCGACCCGAGCGATCCGCAGTCGGCGGAGCACGGCCTGCACGCGATGCTCATCGTGGGCTACAACGATCGACAGGAGGCCCGATGGACGCGCGCCGGCGACGACGACGGGTTCCGGCCGGAGGAAGCGGGGGATTCCGGGAGCAGTTCAGCGGTTCACCGGTGGGTTGGGGGGTGGTGGGATGTGGTGGGTTGGGGTTTGGTTCGGGTCCAGGGGAGGGGGAGAGTGGGGTGTGGTTGTGATTTCCCATATCGGCCTACCCTGGCTAGAATTGGGAGGGCTTGAGCTCCTGATAAGAAAGAAATTAGTCAGAATCTGGGCGGCATTTTATCAACCATTTTGCGGGGGTATGTGGGGATGGCAGTTTGTCCACCTTTAGGGGGACCCAACCCCACCTGGTGTAGCCGAAGGGGGATGGTTGTGGGTTTACAAAAGAGTTTAACATTTCAGAGTTTGCGGGGCGAGTGCAGATCCTTGGTGGCTGTTTGAGAAGGACGTCCCGCGCTAGCCACTTGCTCGTGGATGCTCTTGGCCCCGGCCCCTCGCGGTACACCAAAACGCGTGAAGCCCACAACCATGTTGTATCGCGATTCCGCAAAGAAGTGGGTGTGTATCGAAAAAAGGGAGACCCCCTGGGTAGACTGGTCTATTTTCCGAACCTTCCAGAAGATCGAACTGGGAGGTCTCCATATTTACTGTATATATATATATATAATTATATATATATATATGATTTATGTTAATCACACCCAAGTTGTTTGCCAGCACCATGGTAAACACAACCTTGCCTTCTTCTTTCACAGATCAGTCAGTCGCACATCGAGCTGCACCGTTTGTTGGATGTGTTAAGACCTGGCTGCACTGTTTCCAGGTCTTCATCGTGCGGAACAGCTGGGGAACCAGCTGGGGTGATAAGGGCTATGGCTATGTGCCTTACAACTACATTTGCAATGACGACTTCAACTTCCTGGGGCACCGAGTCGAGCAGAACGACGCGACGGTGGTCGGGGCGGCGACCTGCTTCGGGTTCCGAAACGACTCACGTCTCATCAGGGCGACCACGCACGTATCAAACACGACCGGGCACGGTGAACGCACAGCAGGGGAATGAGAACTCAACAACTGAAAGGAACATAAAGGAAACAAGTGAGATCAAGTGAGTCTTGAGTGACCATTTCTTAGAAAACACCTAAGTGCTGTGCAGGGACTCCCAGATAGTTCAAGACATAGATGTCATACTTTCGTTCGAGAAACTGCCCTGCAAAGGAAACTGCCACCAGGCTTTGGTGTTTGTATGTGTTTGTGCAGCCTTCCTTATTGACTACTGTCCTGCACCCTCTCCAAGGCAGTATGCCATCATCGGCCTCACAGAATATGTGCTTTGGCGTGAAAACAGCACCGGGTCAGGCCCTGTGGAGAACAAGGGTTTCATGCCCTGTTTCTGGCTGTGTCTCTCAACAGGGTGAACTTACATTTTTGAACATGAACACCAAATTATATCAAATCATATCGATGGCTATAGTGTGTCCCATTACTAGTAACAGTTAGTAAAAGATACTAGCTGAAGGAAGATAGTCCTGATAGTCCTATCGTAGTTTTCTCCTGTTCGGCTTTTCAGTGTGAACTGGCGGCCAGGTGACCAGGTGTCACCCCGACATGGATGAACAAGAGATAACAAAAAAACACCAGCCAACGACGTGGAACTCCTTCTTGACACCTTCCACAAATGCGTTTGGATTTCAGAAGCTTGCCGCCCAGTCCAGTGCGTGCTGCCAGTGCTTTCACTCTCGACCCCAAGGACTTCTCACGGAACGTGGATGATGGAAGGGATTACAACCTGCAACCCGTCGACGAGGCGATGGTTTTCTCCGTCGCGACGCATCGAAGCGACGGTGGAGACGGTTTTTCTGGTTTGGATCGGGGGGGGTTCCGGTGTGATGGAGGGAAGGGATCCAAAGATATGGAAACCATATAGGGGGGACCTTTCAGCCCGCCTGGGTTGTTAATGGTTTTTGTTTGTTTTCCTTCTTCCAGGGAGTCTTCTTTTTAAGCGCCTCCCCCTATTTGAATGCACCCGCACATATTGAAAGGAATCTCTACTCAGGGGACATTCCCTCAGTTCCTGCTAACCTGTCAACTTGTTCCGTTTCTTGACATGTCCAAACCCAAAATGCATCGGAACTGCGAACATTTGAAGGTGACCCGGATGAACCCGACTGTGGTTTTCAGAGTGCCACCGTCCTGTGGTTTTCAGGTGGCAAGTACCAGCATCCACGGTTCAGTCCGTTCAGTCCCGTAGCCTCTCTTCAGTTTCTCCCACTCCACCGACCCGAAAGCTGCCCCAAAGATGATAGACCAAAGAAAGCAACTCCAGGGTCTTCAAAGTATCTCTCAGAATGCTTGCTACAAGTAGTGTTGGCAAGAATCTAAGATGGATAGCATGCTAGGCAGCATGAATCATCAGCCAAGCACGCATCCAATCTGAGTTTGGTGAGTTGTTCCTGATTGAGCCTTGGGTGAAGGTCCACTGGCTGGTGGCGAATCAGTCCGCCCCGCGTTTCGGAACATCTGAACAAAAGAGTTGCAAGAGAAGAAAGGTGTGTCAATGGCTTCTGAGCGTTGATGACACTTTCCCTACCTCAAGGGTTGTTTCACCCCCATGCTTTGCAGGTGTTTTTACATGCTTTTTTACAAGTCAACTAAGATCAACTTGGGTGCACCATGGCCAGCACTACACCGGTACACGGCGGGCCTGCAGGTCGAGCCGCCTGAGATTGAAAGCTACGAAGAAGAACAGGAGGACCGGATGTATTTCCTGGTTGAACCGCCGAACCGAAAGCACCAGCACCTCGCCACAGCGAGGGGTTGAAGTCGTTCACCCAAACGCTGGTGGCACTCGGTTGCACACGCCCACAGCATTTTAGCCGTAGATAATTCGTTGGCCCTTTAGACGCCTAAGCCAAACCAAATAGGTGTCTTTTTCCTTCCAAGATCGGAGAACGCTATTGCCTGGACCATCCAAGGGGTGTCAAATACCTGGTAATAAGTAGTGTAGGGTATCCATTGGGCACCCCGTCAGGATGGTCCTGGTATGTGCATGCCAATATGTGCATCAATCTCCAGCAGACATCAGCAGACCAAGTAGCAGACCATGACTCACTCCCAGCGATCCAGGATGACGTCGACGACGACTTCGACGTGGAGGACGAGTTCGATCCGCAGCAGGACGGACCAAAACTCGACGCGACGCGACGCCGCGGCGAGCGCCGCTCCGTCGGTTGCGCGAAGCGTTTGGCATGAAGAGCTTGGATGGCAAGAGGAGCACTCAAGGCCCTCAGAAAAAACTCAGGTTGCAGAGAAGCAACCAGAGCACTTTGATTCTCTGATGTCTTATTATGCCATGTCCATACCCCATCGAAGAATGCTGAAGAGCTTTTCTTCCCCCAGTGGACCTTTTAGATGCGAGATGATGCAAGGAAGCTAAACGTATCTTCAACTTGTTCAACGTTGATGCGGACGAGGGCTTGGACGGTACTGAGCTCGAGAACTGCTTCTTGTGGAACGGCGTGCCGACGCTCGGCGGTGGCGTTCGTTCCGACCGTTCGGGTTTTGGGGTGCGCGAAAGCCACGAAAAACCGGGTTTGGGTGAGGTCCTGGGGGGGGGGCGGTGTGTTCGGGGATTGAGGTGAGGAGGAAGGCAGGGCGGTATTAAACTAGTGAGAAGCAACGGCTCATGGTGGTTTGATCAGTCCTGCATTCAATTTGACAGTAAATTGTCTTCTCATTTGTTGAGCTCGGTCTTTACAATGCACAGCATATAACATAACATCGCGCCTGAGCATAATGACAATGTAACAGTATGTAAGTTGCGGGTTGAGTGGTCGGGTTTCCAACAAACGCAGCGGCTTGCACCAATGTGTTTCATAGGTACGGTCAGTGTGGTGTTTTTGACACCTTCTGAGCCTTCGTTGCCTGGCTAAGGATTTTAGACTACGTGCAACACCAGGTCAACCAGATTTCATCTTGGAAGGCTAGGGGAAAACACAGATAAACAACCTTCCCCATGGCCCATCTTCCAAATTCCCTGGCACAGTTTCGCTGGGACCAGCCGATTTTTTGTGGCTTTTCGGAGTCCATTGGAGCCGAGGGGATCGAGTAGGAAAGCACATTGTTTGGGTCGCTGGCCCACCCAGGATGAAGTCTTTTCAGCAGATCAAGGATGAGTATGGCTTGGACGAGGGAAAGAAGTTGAGCTTCGATCAGCTGCTTCGATCTGCATCACGTGTGAATTTTGGGAGGCGTCAACTTGTGAGCCCAAAAGCCCCGCATTGAAAGAGCCTTCAAGCATCTTCAAGCCCCTTTTGCTAGGAGTGTCCATCGCTGATCGCTTTCCGAATCCGTGGGTGAGTCGGCAATGTTGAGGGAAGGCTACTTCCGCGTTTGATCGAGCCAATGATTATGCCTCTCCCAGAGTCGAACCGTACCATTGCCGTTGGAACTTGCATTTGTAAATGATACAAACATATACAAGCATTCCATTGCTTGTAGGAAGTGCTACATCCCCCAGCAAATGCACATAATCAAAATCATAGACAGGATCCCTACTACTACTACTACTACCACTACCACTACCACTACCACTACCACTACCACTACCACTACCACTACCACCACTACTACTACTACCACTACTACTACTACTACTACTACTACTACTACTACTACTACTACTACTGTTACACTACTACAGTTGCACTATTGCTGTTGGTACTGCTGCTGCTGCTGCTACTACCTCCACCACCACTACCCATGCGGGTGATGGAAATCAGGAAAAAATCTGGATTCTTCTAAACCCAGCAGGCCTGAGTCTCCCGTTCCCGTTTTGAGCTCCCGCAAAGCCGTGCAAGCTGCACATGTTTGGGAGATGGGTGAAGTTGTCAGGCTCCGTACCCTTCACGTTCCACGATTTGAAGATTCCAGCTTCAGAATCTCGAGAGCTCAGGTTTTCCCTGACTCCTAGACTACATGTTACAGTGTAAATGTTGTGAGAGCTTTACTAGCAGCAGTCATTTGCCCATACTTTTTAGCTCAGGTTCTGGGAAATCTACACCTATTATCAGGCGCTGACTTCCCATGAGGGACGCTGGATAGGATGCGGGGGTGGAAGCCACACTGGGCACTGGAGTTGAACATTGACGTTTTGCAGTCGTCGGGTATGGGCCAGTCCAACGATCGACATCGTTGACATTCAGGAATCCTTAGTTCATTCACCACGGCTTCTTGGGCACACATTGCATGTTTGGTTGCCTAAGGTAAAAACCGCAAAACCCCTCTTGGACTCTTGGCACAAAGACATTGAAACAAGAAAAAACCAAACAAAAAAAAAACAACACCAATCTTTCGAAACTCTTTGGGGGAGGGGCAGAAACCCCTTGAAGTTCTATAGGAATCCACTCTGCCCCGGTCCGGAAAAACCCACTGCCGCCGTTCTCCGCGTCGTGAAGAACGTGACCGAACCTTGCGAGGCGCACAAGGCGCCCCGAAGCGGCTGCTTCTGCTGGGCCGGGTCCTCAGAGACGAGGTTGGTGGGTCTAAAGGGATGGAGGACGTGGGGAGTCTGGAGGGTATAGGCCCTATAGGCATGGTATAGGCTCGGTATGGTAGGACTGGTATGGCCATCTCATGGTTTTTTTATTTGAGGACTTAATGATTTGTACACCTTTTTTTGTGCACTACTACTGATCATGGCCTTTCTCGAGGAATTGATATGCATAGCTTATTTTCCCATCCTTTGCTTCTGGATTTTCACCATGTTGGTATTGGATGGTATTGGCATCAGTTCGTTATTAGTTTTACAACAATGTGTGTTAGTTTGTGTTCCTTCTCATGGCCAATTGGATCAAATAACATCTGGGTGAGTGGGTGAAGTAGGATGTCAAAACCGTAGTAACTGATGAGGCCCTTGCCTTGTCAAGATTCTACAAGTTAGCCTCAGCATGTTTAGCACAAGAAGAGGAAGAAAATACGGTGTTGTTTTGACTTGTTCCGATCATTTTTAACACGTGGGTTGCAATCTCTAGCCGCCTAGCCTGCTACCACCCTGGATTTCATGCAAGTATGTTTTGTATGCTTTTGTTGTATTTGCAGATGGTTGCTTTTGCTGAAATATTAGATGTTTTTCGGGTAGTGGTGTATGAGCTTGTCCATCAACTGCATGCCTTGAATGCTTCCCTTACTGAGAGGCACTCTTTTGTCTTGACGAAGTTCTGCAATTCCTCAGTTTACTCTTTAACTGTCCCTGTTTACAGTCTCTCATACCGTTGATAGTGCGGAAGAACATAGAGAGGAAAGAGAGAGAGAGAGAGTGGGAGAGAGAGAGGGAGAGAGAGTTACCACCTGCTGAGTTTCTTGAAGTTCAACTACAATTTCCACACATAACATACGGTTCTAACTGAGTGAGGTCGGCTACATTTTGTTGACTGAGGATTAGTGCTCTTGGGCGCTTCCTGCTTTGCTTTCTCCGCTTCGACACGAAAGGACTGGGTGGACGTCGCTCTGGGTGGACGCGACGGTGGGAAGCAGTGGGTGGACGCTGTGGGAAGCGGATATGGTGTGGCATTTGATTGAGCCAAGAACATCTAGTAATCTAGTCTATGCAAAAACCATCAGCAACACCTGTCAGTGGATGACAGTGAGATGTAGGAGATGTTGATTCTGCATTTTGTCAGCTTACAGATCCCAGCAGTTCAGCTGACATTCCAGCTGACAGTTCTTCGACGTATCAGTGTTGATGGGACGTATTCAGGACGAACCTGCCAAGACGAACACGTCACGGCGAAGGTTTTGATGCGAAGCATGCGACAAAACGCCACTAAAGACAGGCGGGATAGTGGGTATCAAGGATGACGCACTTCGCTATCGACAGTTCACGTGTTGAACATCCAGTTGCTACACCCCCCAACTTGCCATGGCTTGCCTCATGTTCCCTCAGTGCCTGGTGCTACGATCTGCAAGAAGGACAGAAGAAGCCTGTTTGGGCTATAAACTCCCTCAAATCATCATGGAAGTGGAGTGAAAACAGTGGATTCCACCTGCACGGCCTGCGGATTCAGTGGTTTGCCCTGCGATCTCTCCGGATTCAGTTCATCTTGTCAGTCCACGTCACGTCGCTGCTGCGCATCCCCACCTGTACGGACTGGATACATGATACACTCCTTGTTGGTTTGTGGCATGGCCCGGCCCTGACCATTCTCCGACCAAACATGTGGTTTCCCTCCCTCCACTTCGACGATGTCACCTGTGGATCACTTTCGATCACGCGGACCCCTATGACTGGATGGAGAGAAGGCTCCGAAGCGTGCGCTACTCGCCGCGGGTTGGCTGCGTTCGTTGTGCGTCTTAAAGGCTTCTCTCGTCTCCCCTGGCCTGCACCACACGTAGAAGTGTCATGTACAATGAGTCATATATATGAGCCACAACATTTCTTCTGTTTGGTGTATTGGCAAACCAGATCCGACCTGACAGCGCAGGGTTCTCATGTCCTCCTCAGGAGTGCTGGGGACCGTGGCGCGCTCTCCCGCGCGCAACAGCGCGTGACCACGAGCCAAGAAGATGTGTGGAGCTAGATGCTTTAGTGTGCATACTGCTGAGTGGTTTTGGTAGATGCAGAACTTTCGTTGCATTTTTTGTCATGGTCATACACGAAGGGGTAGCTTTGATATGTTTTGATTCTCATGGAGTCGGAGATCCCTAGCCTATGGGTGGAAGGGTTGAAACACCTTCCACCTTCCGATCATGCTGAGCAGCTGCTGCTGACACGGCGGCGAACGGAATCCTGTGTGGCAACCAGTGGGGCATTCCATGAGACATGAAGCATGAGACATGAAACTGTTGATCTATACAATCCCTGGAAAGGAGGGTTAATAGAGCAGGATCGATCCCTGCGATGTGGTGTAGAGGAAAATGATGGAAAATGGTCTGAGAGGCGCCTTGCCATCCACTTCCATGTTAGTTCCAGGGATATGTAGAGCTATTGGGCTATTCCTCATGTGGAGATTTTGAAACCATCCTGGAGGCAGGCCGCTTTTCTTGTGATTAATCAACCGCCATACATGAGATATAATGTACTGGAGCAAGCCTCTGGTATGCCTGTATTTACTCCATGCCCTTGTGGAGCCTTGTGTACCTTGTGTGACTCCGTTCTCGGCCTTTGACGAACCTAGAACGGAAGGAACCGAGGGCTTGGAATCGAACTGTCAGTGGGCGCCCGGTCTCTATCGGCAGTCGCCCCGCCGTGGTCGAGCACGTCACGGTCAAATGACAGAACAAAGCAAAAAAGACATGAAAATATAGCCAGTGCCCATGCCAGGTCTAAGAACAAAACCAACATTTATGATGGATTGTGGATGTGCAAGCCTCCGTTTCGGTGGCGAACGAAAGGGCTGGATCATGGAATCCATCCAAAGTGTCAGGTCCTTGGCCACATCTTTCAGCAAACTGTGAGAAGTAGATGGAAAAACACCTCCGTCCCATGCGGGATTCCGGATTTCTTGAGCTAGAAGGCTTTGTGGGAGCGATCAACGGCTGGCCGCATCGGCCAGGGCCGTGAATGGATCCCCGCTTTTTGAGTGAAAAAATGATGAACCATTGATGAAGCAAGAGGATGTGTTTTGGAAAAAGATATGAAGTTCCCGTTTTAACATGTTTTAACATGTCTTCTTAACAAAACGATGAACAAAAGCAGATCTTCAGTAGATCCAAGGCTTTGAGAGCGAGTTGGTTTTGGTGGAGCGGTTAGACGGTCTTAGGACGTTGGATTTTTGGCACCACGTGCCCCTGTTCTTGCACAGTCGCGCAATGGAGATGGTGCATGTTCTAGAGGGAAGTTTTGAAGAGACATGTCAAGAGTTACCCAAAAAGTTGCAGTTAAGAGAGCAGTCAGCTTAATTTTTGTGTTTGTGTATACGTTTGTGTGTGTGATCTTGGCGTGCAAATAAGACAGCAGTCGGAAGCAAAGTACGGTAGTTTGGCTACGGATGAGTCGAGCCAGACTGGCCGAAGAGTTGCGGGATCAGACTGGCCATTTGGTGTTTGAAATGTTGGGATGCCATGTCATGCAACAACTAGGTGATGGTTTCGGATATGTTTATGTTCAACCCTTACTTGGGGATTATGAAAACACCAACCAGACAAGTTCTTTTGGGTGACTTGGAGATGGTTCAAAGGTTCCATGATCGCTCCATTCGGAAGCTGAAAGCGCGTGCCTTTTCGGATGCCCGGCATGGATGGTCGCTCCTACGGAGATTCTTGGTGAATATATTCGAAGACCCCAAAAGCATCGCAGATCTCATCGCTAATCCAAAAAGGTGGCCGTGAACGCCCGATCAGCGGCCCCTCTTCCAGCATGCTGGCTGGGGGCCTGCAGAGCGTACGTGGACGCACGTGTGCCTGTGTGGGTGGCGATGGTTTTATGGAAACTGATTGGGTCGTTGGGTGACTGACTGCTCAGGTCAGCCATGTGAACTGATTCCCCCAAAAAATGGATCAACACTCGTGCGGCCCCGAAGGACCCCTTTTGGTGATTGACTACTGAATCATGTCCTTCTCTTTGCGCCTGGGCCATGGGCCTGGGGTAGATGCAAGACTTAAGGTTCGGTTGGTTTTTTTAAAGGATTTAGACCGCCCTAAGCATCCTTGGACCCTCCTTAGAAGGGGTCGAACCCTCTACTCATAGTGGAGGAAGTCGCAGCCACCAGTGGTGGGTATTGAAAATAGCTGGGGGGGAGCTTAAGCGAAAGTCGAAAAGAACGTCAGGTGGTGCATGGAAAACAGGGAGACCTCAGGCTGCGTTCACAAGGGGGTTAGGTTCATAAACGTGGTTTCCAACCATTAAAAAACATATGTTTTTTGCTATGTTGTGACTTGCGTTTACATGGGGAACTCCATTTGATCAAGCTTGGAATTGGGTGAAAGGTCTTAGTTTATGTTGCGTTTACAGTGGGCGACGGTGTGGCGGTGACTTTTCAGCCTCGTGGCTGTGCAGAGTTCCATGGGGGAAGACTTGGTAACAAGAACTGGCGGTGACTACCGCCGTTGCCTGTAGGGTTTGTACCCTCAAAACCCTTGTTTTTGAGGGTGCGGATCCTTAGGGCGTTTCAGAATGTTTCAGACCGTCGTTTTGAATAACACGTGACATTGGATCGCACGGCCCTCCGATGGGTCCAGCCTAAAGCAGCTCCAAACCGGCACAGACCCAGCTGGCACCCAGCCACCACACCAACCACCGAAGCGAAGACGGTGGTAGTTGGAGCCCAATTTCTTTGGGCCTGGCCATGTTGCAGCTCTCTGGCGGTGGTTGACTCCAAAAAGAGAACCTTCAGAAACGCCCTCATTGAAAGTGGCACCTTGAAGGTTCTCCTTTTACGGGAGGGCCAATGAATGGTGCCGATCCTCGCGCATGTTTTGGGCCTTCCGCCGTCTCCAAAGCACTAGGCAGCTTGGTTTTGTTTTCCCTTGGATCTGCAACACCCCCTCAAACATGCGGCCTTCCTAACAGTCTGCGCTGCCCCCCCCCACCATACAGAAGGTCTACAAAGGCCTTGGTCGGCCTTTGTCACCATCTTTCTGCATCGTGTTCTCGTGCCCACCCTCTACTCCTACTACTCCCAACCCCCCGACCAACCCACCGAGTCACCGAGGACTTCGGCCTCAGTTCTTCGGCCGCGCAACGGCCCCCGCCGCGCAGGTGGACCGCTTCGCGAAGACCGCCGCCGTCACCGAGCGCAACTTGATCCGTCTGGAGAGGCACGGAGGGAGGGTCCACCGGGCGAACCCGGTGAGAGACTCCCGCGCGTTTGCGGGTGGTTTGTGGCTGAGTTTTGGGGAACCTGGGAAGAGAAAATAGAGGAAACATCGGAAGGGTTTGTAGTTTTCTTGGGTTGTTTTGTTTGAAGATGTTCTTTCAGATCCAACTTCCTTCGAACCAAGAAGTGTTAGTCTTATTAGATGTGTTTTTGTCGTGCAGGTCCCAGCCACGCTGCAGAAAGAGCAAAGGAAGAATTCTGGGTAAAGTGACAGGGCTCAATCTTGATTCTGCTCGACTTCACAACAGCATTTGCTTGCTAGCTTGCTACTTCGTCCGACACGTGAGGGCGCTACCACGCATTCGATGGAACACAGCTTTGCACATGGAATGGCCACCATCAAATAGTTCATTTGTTGGAGGGACGGAGCCTCACAGTTTTGTTGCAAAAGTGCGCAGGAATGCTGAAGGAAGACTAATTAATTACTTGGGTGGCAACACAGTGCCGCGGGGGCAACTTCCAGACTATAGAAGAGATTCTCAAATAGATAGATGCAACATTGCGTTCTGTTTTGCAAAGAAACGCATTTCTTCGATGTTGGGCTTACTATGAGTGCTTCAACGGAGCATGGATGCCGGTGGTTTTGACGAGCCCCCATCGGAGCAAGTGGGACATCTTCCAGGGTCCC